AGCAGCCTTACCAGGCCACAAAAGTTGACAATGCAGCCACTTCTAATGAGAACTGATAGACTAACATCAGAAAGAAGGAAAGGAGGATCTCCTCTATCAGTGAACTTAGGGAGGGGCATGCATGCAGAAAGGGGAGGGAGGGTGGGATTGAGAGAGGAGAAGGGAAGGGCTTATGGGGGGATACAAAATGAATAAAATGTAATTAATAAAAGTTAAATAAAAAATTTAAAAAAGTTCATAGCTTATAAAAGTCTAAGGCTATACTATAGATTAATAATAATACCATTTTTAGAAAATAAGACCAAGCATATTTAAACCTTTTTTTAGTAAAGATATAGCATAACAAATTTTAACATAAATAAATGCTTATAAAATTAATAAATATTAATTTGGATTATTGGTAAAATTTGTACATAGTAACCCCTGAGTTATGAGTGTTAAAATCAACAATATCATAGAACAGTATAAAGCAATTTTAAAATTATACTTGAATTTATTATAGCAAACCTATTAGCCAGAAAGCCTAGTGGTGAATCCAGATCATAGGTAGCTCATGGCAGAAGAAACACAATTTATTAATTTAGGAATTGATAAAGACACAGGCAGTTAGATGTACATTTTAAATTAACTTAACTTGAATAGACATTTATAACTTTGAAATTTTATCATTATATAAAATTTATTTTGAATCAGGTTTGACTTGTGAATATATAGACTTATGTGAATATATAGACAATATCTTATTGTCTATATATATTATGTGAATATATATTATGTGAATATATAGACAATATATAGCATGTCATAAAAATAGACTTTAAAAGTTATATAAAAATTCATACCAATTTAAAATGAGACCTGTTGTTTTTAGTCTAAAAGGAGAAAAAATAAAGTTAGTTATGACTAAGGAAGTCCTATAAATGCAAACCCAATGAGAAAATTGTATACATCGTTAGATAAGAATTTAAAGCATTTAAAAATATGTGTGTATATATATATATATATATATATTAAGAGCAGAGTGTACAGAAATCAGGAAGAAAAGATTTTTAAAAGCTTGGACGTAGCACCTTAGAGGTCAGAAGTATTGAGACCCAGGATTTGAACTCGGCTTGGAGTTTTTCAGGAGTGGGGAGGGGCGAGCTCATGGCACGGCTTCTCAACTTAAAAGTCAACATGGCGGCTTGCGATGTGCGGTGCGCAACTGTGGCAGCAAAGGAAGGCCAGGTGCTTGCTCATGGGATGGCTGTCCCGGCCTTGTTTAAAACTCTCCGCATGTGTGTGGCATCCAACTCTGCACAACTGAAAACCCTCCTCTGCAAGCCAGTGGCAGGCAGGCATTCTGTGGGAAATTTAAAATCTAACCAGGGGCTCTGAGCATAGGGCAGGACACCTCTGAGCAGCAGCGAGCACGGGGACAGACGTGCACAGTAAGGGCAGGGAAGTTGAAAGAAAGTAAAGCTTTTAAGTCATAGGTGGTTAGGGATAGATAGGGAAAAAAAAATCTGTTGTAGGCATTATGGTCGGAATAAAGGGGGCCTGACGTGACCAGACCAGGTCCTACCAGGAGAGCCCTTCCCCACCCCAACGCACCAGTGTTAGGACCCATGAAATGATGATGATGCACACAGCAGATTTTATATAAAAAAGGTTTATTATATGAAGGGAGAGAGAGAAGGAAAGAGTGAGATATGATAGGGGGAAGAGGAGTACACCCCAACAGAAAAAGGGGAGAGGGCAAGAGAGGGCAAGAGCCACGAGCCAAGAGAAGGCCAAAGTTGCTGGTTGATTCTTTTAAGGAGCAAGGTAACCATGCCTGACAGGTGTGGCTACCTGCCCTGTGACTCATGATGACATCATAGGTTGCTAGGCAACCTAGAACCTGGCTACCTAAATACTAAGAGGGGGAACCTTCATTTGAAAGAGAGACTGAATTAGCTAAACCACTGAAGGGATTTAGCAACATTTAGAACATTTTTTTTCTAGGTTCAGCTACTAAAGAATATAGAGAACATCACACGTACGGTAGAAGGGCCAGACTACATATTGATCTGGTGGTAGAATTTGCCAGCATCATTCCTAGAGTGCTGATTTTATAAAAATACAAAATGCAAAAAAGTATGGGTGATAATGGATATTTAATATGAGGTTATAGAAAAGCGTCAAATCTTTGTTGTCTCCTATTGATCTATTTTTAAAAGAAATATTTACTCTAGATATTGGAAGAATAAAACTTACTTGTTTCCTTTTTTTTTTTTTTTTTACAATGTGCTCAGCTAAGAGATTGTTTTGAATCCCAGAAGAGACTTTTGGCTTTCAGTGGTATTGATCCTGCCTGTTAAGACTATGGGAATTTTAAAGTTAGATTGAACATGTTTAAAATTATGAAATGTCCATGAGTACATAGAGACAAGGGGTGAAATGCAGTGTTTTAAAGGTGATGTACTTCTTAGTGTAGGGTTGAGGACCTGTGGGCCTTCTTCCATCCACTTTAGCATGGAAATTGTTGTTGTCCTCTTTCAGCTCACATTTAGGTAGTCATGTTGGTGAGACTTTATGGGTGTAACATTTGGCATTCCCAGAAAACCTTATCTCACAGTAACCCCCTGATGTTCCAGCCTTTCCAATCTTTCTGCCCACACTTCCACAATGATCCCTGAGCTTTAGGTCAGAATTGTTTTATAGATGTGTTTATTAGAACTGGGCTCCACAGTTCCACGTATCTATTCATTGTAGTTGGTGTAAGTATATTATAATCTCAAAAAACAAAAATATCTAGCATATCATTTGTTTGTTTGTTTGTTTATTTATTTATTATTACAATTTATTAACTTTGTATCCCAGCTGTGGTCCCCTTCATCATCTTTCCCAATCCCACCCTCCATCTTCTCCCCCCATGTCCCTCCCCCAGTCCACTGATAGGGGAGGTCCTCCTCCCCTTCTATCTGACCCTAGCCAATCAGGTCTCATTAGGACTGGCTGCATTGTCTTCCTCTGTAAAGCTGCTGTATTTAGCTATCAGGTTGGCAAGGCTTGGGTTTGTGATAAATTAGTCCTCACTGTTAATTTGACTGGATTTCAGAACAACCTAGGATTTGGCTTGTCTGGATGAGTTTTTCCAGAGAAGTTTAGCTGAGGAAAAAAGGCCCACTCTAAATTTGTTTCAGGGTATCCAGCAGGGATTTTAAAAAAAAGGAAAAGAAGAAGAAGAAGAAGAAGAAGAAGAAGAAGAAGAAGAAGAAGAAGAAGAAGAAGAAGAAGAAGAAGAAGAAGAAGAAGCAATGAACAGGAAAGCCTGATAGACACCAGCATTTATCTGTCTCTGTTTCCTCCCTGCAGACTCAATGTGGCCAGCCTTCCATATTCCCACTGACAGACCTTCTCCATTATGAAATAAAACTTTAACTTGACTTTACCGTTATTTTCTCACAGTATTAGGACAAGTAGTTGATACACATTCCCTACAGGAACCTCACCATTTTCTCATACTTCTCACTTCATGTTTAACTCTTCTCCTGTTCCTTTTTCCAAGGTTAGTTATGCCACCCCTTTAGGGACCCTCTCAGTAGTTAGGACACTTTTCATATATAGCTATGTGACTAACTCCCTGTTTCAAAACAAACCAACCAACAAACAAAAGACAAAACAAGACAAAAATCCCAAAAGTTTGCACAAATGTCTCTTGATCAGTGAGGTGCAGTAAACTGCCCATTTGAAGCTGTAATCTATCTATACTGCTCTTTCTCAGCTTCATACTTCTATCTTCATTCATTTCTTTATTTGGTTTTACAGCATTTATTCCCCCTTGTTAAACTATGTAATAATTTACCTAAGTTTATCATTTATTGTATGTCTTTATTTATTAGAATGTAAGTTTACACTTTACTATGCGTTCAAGGGATGATATGTAGCCCACAGTGTGCACATCAGAGAACAGCATTCATGAGTCAGCTCCTGCCTTCCTCTTTGTGGGTCCTGAGGGTCAAATTTAGCTCATCAGACTTGGCTACAAGCATCCCTAACTGCTGAGCCAACTAGCTGACTTTATAAGCTAATAGTTTTCTCTTTTGTTCTCTTGAACATTTCAGGTGCTTACAAGGTGAACTTGTAAGTACAAGATGCTTAGTGAGTGGGTTGGAAGGTGATGGAACTTTTTTATTTGCTTACCTGCTTATAACCAAACCATGAACCTTTTGAAGGCAAAGATATTTGCTTTGTGGTTATCTACGTATAACATCTTAATGCATTATCCAAAAGCAATGGGTATATGATAAACACTTGCTAAATACAATTATTCACTGTTCACCTCATTGTCCCACAGCTCTGCCGGGTATGCAATCACAGTTTGCAAAACCAGAGGAGAAATGTGAGATCCATTGTAAACTATAGCAGTATCAGGGAGCTCTAAAACTGAAGAGTCTAATATAGACCAGTAAAATAAAGATCTTTTGTTCACGTTTCATTCACAAGTTAAGAATTTAGCATCAGAAAAATGGCACAACAGGTAAAGGCACTTGCTCTCAAGCACAACAGCCTGAATTTGTTTTTTGTTTTTTTTTTTATTTTTTTTTGTATTTTATTTTTTTCTTATCAGTTACATTTTATTAACTCTGTACCCCAGCCATGTCCAGATCCTTCATTCCCTCCCAGTCCCTCCCTCCCTCCCTCCTCTCCACCATGCCCCTTGCCAAGTCCACTGATAGGGGGGACCTCCTCCCCATTCATCTGATCCTGTTTTATCAGGTAACAGCCTGAATTTGATCCTTGGAATTCACACTGTGGAAGAAGAGAACCAATTCCTCACGTGCACACTGTGGCGTATTCATATGCAACAAACACAATGAATTTTGAAAGACTTAACTCTTCATTGCAATTTACTTGGTCATTTTCTACCACCTGTGCTTGTATTTGAGATATTTGTTTTGGTAAATCAGCCAGCCACAGACCTCAACTGAGGCTGCCGTGCCTCCTTTAACTTCTCTCTCTGCTTCCTTTCTCAGGGCTCTTCCAGCCATGATGCAATGGGTCCGCACCCAGGAGCCAGGAGAGAGCGGCATCAATATTGTCACCGCTGATTTTGTAGAACTTGGAGACTTTATCAGCACTGTCATAAAGCTCAACTATGTCTTTGATGAGGGAGAAGCCAACACTTGATATTACTCTTTGGGGTGTCCATGAGTAAGATAGGAAAGCCTCATTGTATTAGACATATTATCAACAACCCTCTGATTTTCCTATTCCACCGAGTCTCTGAAGGATTTAGGGCTGGAAGTGGGTGGGAAAAGAGGGTAAACCATGTCTTCAGTGATTGTAACCATATTCTGCATTACTCTATAAATATGCCATTCCCATTGGTGAGCAAAATCTACTTCTAGTGTTAGGAATAGAAAAGAACAGTGACTTTTGTTTTTCAGAATTAATGTTTGTGATACGTAACTCATGAGTGTTTACTTGACTGCATTTTCTAATTTCAACCTTGGGCTCCTATATTGTTCATACCCTCTACTCTTTCCACTCCTTCTCTCTTGCTCCCTCTTCCTAATTAGATGCTTTATGGTTCTCCAAACAATTGAATGCCCAACATATTGTGTATTGCACTGTTGTAATGAAATGTGTTTGTTTTGTGACAATTGGTAAAATATTCCATAGTCATCTGTAATTGGGCAATCATAGTTAATTCTTGGCCGTAGAAAATATGCATCAAATCAGTTTCCTTGCATCAGTAATATTGGCAGTTATTAGTGATTTTTGTGTTCTATCAAAACAATGGTGTTTCACAGTATTTCTGTGTGAGGCAGCTATGACTATTATGCAAATGGATTTCTGAAAAGACTGTGAGTGTCAGGTCCATAGTGAAAAAAAGAGGAATGGTACATGCAGAGGCAGATGCTATTTTAATTCAGCAAAGTCTGAAATACTAACGCCCAGCGAATGTCAAGCTACAAGTGTGTGGAAATCAGCAAAAAAATTTAAGTTTTTATAAACTTCTCTTAATAATTATATTTTTTCTAAAATTCAAAATAGAAAGACCATGACCAATTTCCTATAAAATTGAGGTTCTAAATGCAAAATTCTAAAACCTAGATTTTGGAAACAAAACGAAGCTTTATTGATGTTTATGACTTAAAAAGAAGAAAATGACGGAATGTAGAGGGAATTAGAACAATGTTTTTGAGACTATACCTTTACTCTTTGTAGTTCCTTTACAAATTCTTTCAATATGTATGACTTCCACAGACTCATTTACAACCAGCATTCTGGGTTCCATGCTGCTTAAGGTAAGACAAAGGCCAAGGAACTGAAGTCTCATAAAAATTTCTGTGGCATCAGTTTTGATAATCCAAGGAAAACAATGTTAGCATATTCTTTTGAGTGTTTCTCCTTCTTGGTATCTCTGTAGTATTTGCCAACTCTAAGAACAATCTTCAAAGAGCACAATTATTCACAAGAATAATATGAGGGATTATTAAAAATCTGTACAATTGCTGAAGTTCCTAAAATTACACATTATTTTATCTTCACACATAGAAATATTCCAACTTCAGTAGTTTCCTTGAACAATGCATTTCCATGCATATCAGACTCCTAGAAAAATAAAAGCATGACCTTGGCTTTTAATTAATTTAAATGGAGGACATATGACTCAATCTCTTTGGCCTAGACTAAGACTTGATTTCAAGTATACATCTAGGTATTATAAATAACCAAGAGCTGACTTAGATTATAGATATTCTTTATTAGTAAATAGCATTTACTACCAACTACAGAGAATGAATAAAAATTGTCTGTACTTAAGAGTATGTTCGTGAAAAATGAGTTTGGACCAAGTAACTTGCCTATACACACAACAGACTTGATTATAATTCCAGATATGTGTATGTTGTATTTTGTAACACATACTCTGGCACAGACAAATAAATACAGATATACACAAATACATATAGATTATAGTCAAACATAACATAATTTTTTGAACAAAAACACTTATATTAGTTGATAATTTAATTTAAAGAAGAATACCAGAGCCAGGCAGAGGTACATGCCTGTAGCTGTAGAACTTGAGAGGCAGGAGAATCAGTACTTCAGTCTAGCCAGGTCTATATACTGTGAGCTCAAGGCTACCCTAGGTTAAATAATGAGATCCTATATCAGAAATCTAAACAATATCACAAAGATAGCATCCTTCATAAATGTTTAAAAAATGTTACAAAACATTTGAAATTGCAGTAGTTCACCAAATAAAATGTTTTTATGAAATAGTATAGATTGGGACTTCACTATTCACAATGTGTAATACTTTCCATCTTCACTTCTTCGCCATCTGCAAGTCTATTATATGTCTATTTCACTTGATCTTCTTGTGAAGATAAACAATTTTCAATTACTGACATTATGCTTTATACATTTGCTTTCACAGTCAGTTTTCTCTCTGACTATTCAATTTATAGATGCCTCAGGAGCATCTATAGCTAAGCACAGTTGCAGGGACACAATTTCTAACTTACAATATGATAGAAAGAGATTCTTAATCTGTTAACAAAAAAATGAATGCAATGGAGAAGTAACTGGATTCTGTTATCTTGAAAGTGGACGCTTTCTTACAGTGTTTGAGCATAGTCAACTTTGTGGTATTTGTTATGTGGGTGCTGGAAAAAATAGACATAATGAAGCATTAGGTTGAAATTTCCTATCTAGGAAAGAGGATTTTGTTTGTTTGTTTTGTTACTTTTGCCATTATTGATGTCTGCACAGAACCTGTACTTTCCTCTGAACGTATGATTCACACCTGGATATGCAATTAGCTCCTAGGAAGTAGGCACTGAGGTAAATGGACTTGCCTTAACTTCTAAAGATGGACTAAAATAGAAGTAAACTCTGAGAGAATCAACAAAAAAAGAGATTCTTGGGAAAAGGAAATAGAGAGAAGACACGTTTGACTCTCTCCTGGCCACTGATCTGCTGCAGAGCACACTCATGGGGCAATGTGGGCCTCTCATAGAGAAATGATGCTGTGCCATCAGCTCAGACCTTGTCTTTCCTGAGTCCTGGGAGCATAAGGGCTACACATAGATTTCAAGTGTCGGTATGTTTTGGTATAGTTTTTGTTCTGCTGGCAGTTCCAAACACTTTATGTTACAAGTCCTACAGAGAAAAAAAATCAAAACAAAACAAAACAAAACAAAAAAACTGAACTAAAATCCACCCATGGCAGGAAATCTGAAGAGTGAGAGGAACAAGGGAAAGTACTCAAATAAATTCACTTTTACATTTGCTTTCCTGTCAACAACACTGAAGGACCAATATAGCAAATACTTCTGCCATTACCACTATGTCTCCTTCTTACTACACAGTCGTGTGAGCACGGAGAATGGGGAGGCATCCTTTAAAAGCCTTAGGATATTCTATATGGTAACCTCAATGTTCACTTTCAGCCATAATGGGAAAACTCAAATTTCACAGAACACCACCTAACAGAGAATGTATCAGAGCAAAAAATATTTGGCAAGACATACATGTTCATGCATGCCCTCATGCATGTATATGTGAGCACGTGTGCATGCATGCGAGCAAACACACACACACACACACACACACACACACAGTCGAAGTTGCACCCTATCTGCCTAACTAGTTTTATTGCGACTTTAACTCTTGAAATCAATATTTCTTAAGTTATGAAGGATTAAATACAGTCGAATTATTTGAATATTTAAGGGGAGAAAAATAATTGTAAAATAAATGAGAATGAGACTAGAGACCATTGGAATCTAGAACCACAAGGCAGTAATGCTGTATTTACCCTGTCAACTACACCTCAAGGCACATGATCTAACGCAAATGTAAGTGTCTGAACACATACACATCTTCACTGAAGCTGTTTGAGTCCTGTGAAGTTCTGAGGTGTTTTGGACATCACTACCTGTCCAGGTTCCCACCTGTTAGAATTACAGACTGGAGAGCTGAAAGTCTCAGGAAATGCACATTTTTGTTAGTGTTTTTCAGTTCTACCATTTTACAATTATTCACTGGCACGACGGTCTAACTTTGCTGTGGTTGGTCAGCCAAAGAGGAGCAGTATAGGTCAAGTGCTAGCATCCTGAAAAACTAAGAGAAATAATGCACAGTGCCCCTCAGGAGATCATCAACAGGATCTCTAAAGCATTGTATTTTGCTGTATTTTACTCTTTTTCTCTAGTTTTCAGTGACACCGTGGAGTGAATGCTCTATTTGCCATAACTTACTGGTGGCTCCTGTGTAACGCGCAGTTTAACATAATGTTGCAAATTGTTTGTTTTCCCAATGATGATAATAAAATATTCTATAGAATTTATAAAAGGTGTTAATTGAAAATGGTGTGATTTTTTAATTTTACTTGTGATACAATTTTGTAGTTCTTAGTTCTGATCATATATTTGTATGAGTCAAAATTATGTGCTTGTCAGTGGTAAGTGTAATTATATTGTATCTTTTCAAAAATCAAAATTATCCTAAAGAAAAAGGGCACATCATGACTTGCCTTAATGCATTGCCATGTTGCTTTGTTTTGGATTTCTTTTGTTGTTTTTGTTTTTGGCTTGGTTTAGTTGCTGCAATTTGAATTTAAATTTTTAGCAGAAATTATATTTCTTTGAAAGATGCGAAGCTACGCTGTTTGAAAGTATTACAATCACTTAGTTTACTAATGCCCTTGTGTGCTAGAAGACTAGATTCACATTTATTTCTGCCAACTTCAGAACCAGCACCAAAATTCTAACACAGTATTTTGTAATGGCTGGTCATTTCTACTTAATGATAAAGTTTCCATGGACAGCCACTTCTCTAACCCACAGCATATGAAAGTTGTATCATACAAAATAAGATGAACTGCCTTGGATCTATAAGAATCAAAGAAGTTCCACTGATATGAGGTGATTTCAATATGGTTGACTTCTCAGCAAAACCATCAATAACATTTATCTTTTTCTCTTGCCCATGTGTAATAGGAAACTCCCAACCAATCTACCTAGGTGATTGTTTGGAGTCACAACCAGTCACCTAGGTAATCACGTTGGAAGCAAAACTGTAATCTAGTTTAGGCTTAGATTTTGTTTATAAATATTGTTCTCTTATTTCCTCCAGTCTCTGGATTTTTTTTCCTTTTAACATTTACAGTTGCCAGGTAAAATACAGAACAGCAGTAAACTTCAAACCTCAGATAAATAATATGTTACTGAGTTTTCTATATAGTTCATCAGAAATGCTTACATTAATAGTCTTGTTTCCAAAAAGGTTACGTTTTCGATGAACCTGTATTGCTTCTTCTTCTTCTTCTTCTTCTTTTTTTTTTTTTTT